CCAGATGTATCTGTATATGTAGACAATTTCAGTCCARAATGCTAAATGCATTACAAAGTCAGAGAAGGTTGAAATCAWTCACTCACCATCAGAGGTCTTCATAACAGGACGATCCGCCTGTTATTGTGGTTGAGGGCAAAAGCGTCAATAATCCTGTCACTGTCCAGGGTCCTGGTTCTTAAAGGYTTGATAGCAAGAAGTGCCAGGTCACTTGTTCGACTGTCTCCGCTGCTGTTTCTTAGGTAGTTCTTTAAACGACGCAAGCAAGAAAAACTGCGCTCACAGCTCACTGATGTTACTGGAAGAGTCAAAGCTATGGATATCAGCTTGTATAAGTCCAGGAATGCATCTTTGTAGGGCTGCATCACAGATAGGAAGTCCTGTGTGTTGTTGATTATATGTCCATGTTCTTCTTTCCTTTTCAGCAGCCGACGAACCTGGTGGAGCTCTGCTGACAAGTTCTCCTCATTAACTCCATAATGACAGGCCATAGGCAGTATCCATTTTTTATCAAGGAACGATGGGTGTTTGGGGCTTAGAGCTGGAAAACCTTTCAGTATTTCATTAGTTTCTGAAGAAAAACGCTGTTTCATTTCCATTAGCATCCTGTCTATAACTGTGTAAAATGACCTTGTTTTTAGGTCATCCATGCTGTCTGCACCTTTTCTTTCTATTGGGGCATCCACAATAAAGTGCTCCAGATGTTTAGCTGTTTGGGTCTGTCTTTTCTGCCGCTGTACAGTCTCTGTTGTTATTCCTGTGTTGCAGCAAAGATCTTCTGCTTCTTTTCTGAGTGTCTCCCATTTTTCATCTGTGCGTTTTTCTGATATTGCAGTGATTACAGCATGAGCCAGGTCATTTGCTGCTACTAGATCTAAGTTAGAAGACTGTAGCTGATCAGACATGAATTTTGTTGTTCTGAAAATATCCTCAAAAATTACAAGATGCACAACAAACTTCTCATCTATTYGTGCACTGAGAGCTTTCGCCTCTGTCCTCCTTTTAGCATTTTTCTGGTCAACAACATCATGCAGCGTAGCCATAACAGCTGGGAGAGTTTTTTTGACAGCACGTATGGAATCATACTGGCATGCCCAGCGGGTGTCACTGAGTCTTTTAAGCTCTAGGCACTGTCCCGCCGACACAAGTTCCTCCTGCTTCTTCAAAAAAAGATCATGAACAACAGACCCAGAAAAAAACTTGTAAAGCATTTGCAAAATCTCAAAAAAATCGGCTGCAGCANGGGAGCTTAAATAGGAGAGAGGACAGGTGAGGCAGATGAGGCTGATTGCTGTGGTACAGGTGAGGAGGAAAGGAGTAATCAGAGGAGCTGAGTGAGAGTGACAGAGGGGAAGGAACAGATGGAGCAGCCCAAAACATGACAACCACAACAAAACTTGTGACCAAAAGAGTCCATCACACTAGTGAGCCTCCTGGACCATTTAATAACTGACACAAAATAATGAGTAGTATTTGAGTTTTTAGGATCAGCATAAATACTACTGGGGATGCTTAATAATGTGAAGATGTACTTCAGTGTATGTTCTACACACTGAGGTTCAACCTTTCATGACTGCACTTGGAAAAAAATTTTTTTCCAGAGTTCCTCTGTTGGTGTCTAGACACACAAGTAGACAACATGTGCGCTGAGCTAACAAAACTGTGAACTAATATAATGCAACACTCAGAGCTTTAGATGCACCATGTGGTTTAGAAAAAAATAATTAATAAGGGATCAGCTCTTAGTGTTGTGAAGGATAAGTTGCTGCTGGAGAAGGACCTCACTCTGGACAAAGCTCCAAGCATCATGTCTGTGGAAGCAGCAGGTAAAATGCTACACTGCTCAGCTTCAGCTACACTCCGGCACCTGAACAGACTGTAGATGCTGCAAATGCTTGTTCTTGAGTGAAAAAAGAAGCACTGGCAGCTCAAACAGGTGGACATCATGTTAATTATAAACAGGCAAGTCATAAAGAGCTTCTTCAGAAAAACACCTGCTCATAATAAAAATGTCCTGCTTCTAAAATAAGGGTGGGTATTGAGTTTTAAACTGTGAGTGGGTACCTTTAGGTATGGGAAAGGCTTAAAGCAGTAAATGCATTCTGGATGGGTGCGTCTGTGGGTGCATCCTAACGATGGTCAGTGTTTGAGGTTGTGTAGGTTGGCTTTAAATGCAGAAGCTGGAGGACTTTGTTAGCTGGTTTATCTCTTGTAGGAACAAAAGGTTCTTCTTCAACTTTGTTAAATTTGTGCTCTGTTTTTTTTTCTTATTTTGTTATTCTTTCACTGACGAATTTTAAAAATTACTAAATAAAAATGTTCTCAAAAATGAGACAAAGGTGTGTTTATGGGAAAGTCTTCACGACAAACGCAAAACAAGCTGAAGAGAAACTGAACAGATGATCATCCATCCATCCATCCATTTTCTTCCGCCTATC